AACAACAGTGTTATTAATTTGGCTCATTTCTTGGCTCAGTGCTCAGTCTACGAAAAAAAAAAAAAGGCTTACCAAGTAACGTGTTTTTCCTTTGCTAAGTTGCACGTCTTAAAAACTTTTTTACAAGGTTTGTAATTCTATTATTTCTCTAGAGACTAAGGCAATTCAAATCTAGGTACAAATTTATGTTTTTTTTTTAAAAGATTTTTTATTCAACACTGGTACATAAAAAATATGAAAACTAACAAAAATAGCTATTAATTAATTATAGACAGAAGAGACAAAGTTTTTCTTAAAATAGAAACATATAAGAGACAGGAGAAGAAGGAATTATTATAAAAATGAAAAAAAAATAGAATAAAGGAATTTTTTAATTGTAGATTATGATAAAGGTTAAGAAACAGTGTGATAAAGGTGAAGAAACATTTTTAGTCATAATAAAAAAACTGCTGCAAAAGTCAATCTTGAAGTTAGCATTTTCTAAAGTGAAATCTTTGCTAGGTGTCAAGTATTTGAGTTTATATGTTTTATGTTCAACGCTGAATTTAGTATAGATTAAATGTTCCTGCTTTGTCTGAGGTCATTTAAAAGTGCATACAAACCGATAGTTCAACTATCTTCTTCAAGTTCAATAATTCGTATTTCTATTCCTAATGCATTCCAGTCTATGCTGCTTCTAGATCATGCAATTTAGTCTCTCCTCTATCAAATAAATCTCCATCTGTTTTTGCATTTCTTTATTCTCACAAGTAACATCCTTCTATTTATTAAAACCCTGTAAACATTCAGGACAATCTTTTTGCTAAAAGTAGCATAACAATTTTGTATTTTCAGTTTTCGCTATATTTAATCTTTAATTCATTTACTGTACCTAGTAAGTTTTGGTAAAACAAAGTTCAAAATTTGCGAGAATACAAGCAGTACAAAAGAATACAAGCAGTATTGTTAATTTCTTTCTATAAAAAAAAAAAAAAAAAACGTATTTTGTGCATAATTTTCTGCTCGGTAACTTGATGAGATTCCGCAACAGAATTAGAAGACGTGTTTGTTAAAATGACACTAAGCAGAGAAAAACGTTTTAGACTGATAGAACTTTTTAGCCAAATTATGAATCTTAAGCAATTTCTACAGTTGGTGATTAAACACACTAACTTTTCAATTTGGAAAATCATTCAATTTGCTGAACTTTGATTGTTTAGTAGTACCAGTTTTAGCACGTTTATTTTCGGTTTTACTATAACGAGCCCAACTTTTGAGCAAAGTAAAATCAAACTCTAGAATTTGTAATTTTCGAGGAGAAGATAATAAGTACCTCTGAAAAAACCGGCAGTAAGTTTTTTTTGAGAAAAATTGTTTTTTTTTTGTATAGCTCTGCACTACTACAGATTTTTTCAAAAAACCAAAAACACAACTTTTGATCTCACTTCAAAATCTGCGTAGAAATTATTAAAATTTAAACTTTAAACTTAAGCTTATAAGAGAAGTTTTGATTGCATAAGAAACTTGAAAATTTAATATTTTGAAGAATTCATTGTATAAAAGAACGCTTTTTAAAACAACTTACTTTATTTCACAGTTAAACTTGCTTACAGGCTTATAGTCGCTTTATTTAAAAAAAACTAGAAATTGTTCAGCATCAGAATTTCAAAAATTCTGATTTGGCTTAAAACGATTTAAATATTTGTTTTTATTTAGCAATGAGCACATTCTCGTGATAAAATGAGGAAAGAAAATAGAACTGAAGATTTGGTGCATAAATTTTATCATTTTAAAAAACGATTGCTACCGAATGGCGCTTATAATATAAATGCTGTGGAGGTAAAAGTTTTGCTTTTTGCTTAATTCCTTGTCTTGATAAAAAACAGTTTTGAGTGATTCTGTCGCTTAGGAGTTTTAAGCTAAAAAAAAAAAAAAAAGGCAAGATAATATTATTTGCCACATGAGATTTTGGCTCAAGAAATCTGTTAGAGAATTCTGATTTACAGGCTGTTGCTAATCGCTTAACAGATTAAACAGTAAGATTTTTGCAATGTAAAATTTCTATAAGTAAGAACGCTGAAGAAAAAAAGATAATCAAAGGTAATCATTGAAAATAGAACCTTTCCATCCTCAATTCCATCCATCGTTTTAACAAGTTGTCCACTTAATGTGTACAGCTTTTTGGCTCCATTTGGCAGGCCAATTTTTTCATTTACAACGTCGAGTAAAGATTGTACTGAATGAACATGCTTTGTATTTACAGCTACCTGAAATAATTACAGTCTTTGACAAATTAAGACAGGAAGCAATATAAGACTGAAATTTCATAATAAACAAAGACATTGTCAAAGATTTTAAGTTATATATTTACACGAATTCTCTTACAAAAATTACTTTTTTTGCTATTTTGGTTAACATAAGCAGCTCGATAGCAACAGCAATAATGTTCAATAACTGCTTTTTCGTTTCCGAGTTTTGCTATGGCTTATTTTTAAACAGTTGAGTAACTATGTTCTTACATGTGTTCAAAAGAATTTTAACAAAAAATGTGAGTCAAACAAGTTATTCTACAAAAAAGAAATTTTAGTTTCTCAAAACAATTGTATATGCCTAAAAAACAATAAAGTTGAAAGCATTTTCTTAACAGTCTTTTGACAAAAATTTGAAAACCGAATTTGGAAATTGAAAAATGAGACAAACCAACCTTAAGACCTTTGTGAAAAGCGTCACCGTTTCTATAAATCAAAATTCTTTTGCTAACTATCGGTGAAAGCGTTTTGGAAATTTGGTTTGTTCGGCGAATTCCCGATGTAGACGGCAAATTAGCAGATGATGAAAGGCTGTTTTTCTTCTAAAATTTTTTAATCTTCTTTTGCGAAACTTAAGGTATACATTTATTTTTATCACTATACTTTAGTTATAGGTCTTTATTTCGTAACTGTTTGCCAAATTTAAAAAAGATATTCAAATTTTTAGGAAAAAGTTTTTTTATTAAAAAGAATAGTTTGTATTGGTGCCAATTAGTTAAAACAAAAAAGAGAACTTGAAGATCACAAGCTAAAATTGACTTGAACTATACCTTTTTAAGTTTGTCATTGGACTGTCTTCCAACATCAGGTTTTTGTACAGCAACTTTTTGGCTAGATTTCATCGTAGCATTTCAATTCGCTATTATATTTAATCAGAATATTTACAGTTTATTGTTGGTAACTGTTAACAGTTCGTTAACTACCGCTTCAAAAGTGGACATTTTACTGAATTCATTAATGGCAGAAAATATACCTGTAATTTTTTATCTTTTTAACAAACTGCCTTTTCAGTAATTTCCAATTGTATTCGCCACTTTTATAAGCCAACTTAAATTACTTTTTTTAATCTGTCGTAAATTTTTTTAGGAGGTTGATTTAACGTTTAAAAATACTAAAAAATTTCTTTTTTCGAGATAACTGAATACAGTTTTGTTAGATTACAACTTCTCATCGTGCATAAATCTAAGAAAAATTTTTCTTTGCAATTATCTGTAAAATTTATTTAGGTGAACTGTCACCAAGAAAATACAATAAACGTCTAATTCTTAGTACGATAATTGTTAGCACTTACCTCGAGTATAATCACTGAATTTACTACTGATATTTACAATATATACTATCAACAATTGTATAGCAATACAGAAAAGTGTCAGTTAAACAGTAATATGATGAAAAACGCAGAAAACAAATTCAGCTAGCCAAGTACCTTTTGTCATCGGTAATTTATTTTCAATCTATGGAAGACCAATATTTGCATGTTTTTTAACTATCTACAGGTAGAGTTATTTTGAATAAAATTACGTCATTCATAAAGATGCATGTTTAGCTCAAATTTTAGCGTAAATTGAGCAATCGAACTATTGCAGCTATGTGGTGATAAAAATAAGTACTTCTAAAAAAGAGAAGAAAAATTATATATTTTTTATATATAAATATTTTTTTTCTTTTATATTATCTCGTAACTGAAATTCCTCTTAAGCAACCAAATTTAGTGAAACAAATTGAACACAACATTGAAGCGCAATATTCACCTGGAAATTCAGCGCTTATTGCAAAACAATAAATGTCGTCAGCCAGAATAGTCAAAATAATTTAAAAAATGTTAATGTTAAAACAGTCTGTATCAAAAAATTTATCAGTGTTTTGATAAATGGTAAAAAAACAGAGTAAATTTTCTTATTTCATTGTTGTGTCTTAGATTTTACCTTATATAAACATGGTAGGATTTTGACTGCTTTGAAAACAAGAAATAGCAGACATTCATTCAGGCAGCATAACAGTAGGCTTAAATGACTATTTATTAGAAACAATTTAGTATATTTAATCAAAGGTGTTTTTTTAAAAATATAAGCAAAAAAAAAAAACATGTAAAAAAATTTTTTTTTTATTCTTTAAATAGTAAGTAACAAGGTTACCTGTTTTTCAATATCAAAAGTTCATCAAACACAACAAAATTGCTAACAACTGTATTCTGAAAACAACAGCTTTAATGAACAGTTCAACTTTATTAGTATTGCTTATAAATAAAAAGAAAAAAAAATGGAAGAAGACAGAATATAAAGTAAAGAAAGTGATGACAGGCAGCAAAAATAAATAATTTACAATTATTACCTTTTTTTTTTCAATTTGCACTTTTTTTTTGATTATAAAATTTCAGAAAATCTTATGGTCATTTTGTACGTCAAAACAGTGCCTAAAAGCACTGTCAAAACAGTTTTACTGTTAAAATCTACTAAACAGTTTGAACGTATGATAAAAACAGTTAAACAACATATTTGACTTAGTTTTATTTCTACTTCACTCTTTTTAGCAATCTTTTAGTAAAAAAAAAAAATAACTTAAAAAGAGACGTCTGTCAATTTGTTATTGACGTAAAATTGAATAACAATTACAAGAAAAAGAAGGAAATTTTAACATTGATTTTTGAAGAATTGCATTAAACATTGAGAACATTTAAAGCAGCCATAAAGTTAAGCAAAATGAAAAGGCAGTGTTCTTTCGTTGAAACAACAGAAAAGAATCAGTTGAAAATTGGTCACCACAATCCTTGTTGTGTGTTTATTTTATACTTTCAAACCTATAAACTGCAATAATTTTTTTACAAATTTTTTTTTTTTCAAAGTTTAATACAACTCTTAATTAAACAGCAGTTTGTTTACAGTTTTACTACATTTTT